CAGTGTGGATTGCCCGAAAGTAAATCTGCGTGACAGTGGGTTTAGCTATGCATATATATCGTTGCTGATTTGCTTTGGCCTTTGCCTTCAAGTGGTTAGGCTGATTTGAGCCAATCAACAGAGACTGAGCGAATTTAGGACTGAGTAGGCAGATTTGTGGGCGACTGAACAAGGCAGCGTAGTTTTAAAAATTTTTGAGTGACCACCCTTTGCCTTGGTGTCCAAATGCATTAAGATCATTAACTGCACAGGACCGAAGGCCGGGCCATGAATCACACTCAAATTTGGGGACCGACACTTCCCACGAACATGGCATCACCAGTCGTGCTTTTTATAATCCAAAGCAAAGAAACTACTCTAGAACGTTTTACTTGGGGCTGGACAGCGCCCTACAGAGGGTCCTTTTAATATCAGTTCATGGGGCATTCTCCCGAGAACGAGACTACGATGCAGAATAATGTGGAACGATTTTGCAGAGCTGTGCCTGACATATGTTCCTCCTTTTCACATTGCAGCCCAGCCGCTTGACTGCATTACTGCCAGCGACTTCGAACACAGACCGACAGTAGTTTCCAATGACAGGCAAGTGGTCGCTTAGCACACGGCTTTAAGTCGGTGAACCTAAGTCCCATTCTATCACTGGTCAGCTTCCTGAATTTGATGATGCGAACAGCTGTGAGCAGTTAGCGTAGTGTCAGTAGGTACTTCTCTACAGATGTGGCCATCAGTAGCATTTGTTTACAGTGAGGAGGGTAAATAGGGGTTATTTCTTCTTACAAAGTGATTCCCCGCACTCGCTGAAGTTAAATTTAAAGGGGCTGTATAGTATGACCTCATTGAAGGGATTGACAGATTGGCGACACAGACGTTACTAAGACTGCCGATCTGCCTACGAATATATCGCCTTGGTCCTCTCTGAAGGTTTTATAAAACACACGTCAAGGTGGAACATGAGCGTACGAGTACGGGACTGGTAAATCAGTGACAGAATTAATATGGATGGATGACATGCTACTGAGTTGGTGGTCCAAATGTGTAAGGAGTTGGGCATTGTTCTGATGTGTTCCGTGATGTCAGATTGCCGGTTTCTACTCATTATTCATCAGTAGTTATCACTCCCAAATGCGTACAATTTACAGGGCAGTGACGGCAGGCATTGTTAGAGGAGCTGGGTCTACTGAGCAAGAGTTCACCAGTGATGGTGCCACCGATTCGCTGATAGCCGCTGCGAGTGCAATTGCAACTGCGCGCTGTTCAAGTGGCACTCGAGCAACTTCTCCCCAGCGACGGTAGCATTGCTGGCTGAGCATCGCGATTGGTGGGCGACCAGTGTAATGTCACCTCCATACTGTAGTCAAGTTAGTGCCTACTACTTTGATATGCATCATGGGACTAGTAAAGCCGTCGACAGATTTGCCCTCATCAATTAATTTGGTCTCAAATTGTCTTAAATTCACCCATCCACCCAGTCTTAATTCGTTAATATTACCACAACGGATGTAACCATTCATTAATTTTGAATGCAGTAGTCTGTCAAACCTGAATTTTTCTGCTGCCAATCTACTAATCTTCAGTATGATCAACTTTATTTGTGCCCATTTGCTGAGCATCTGTCCCCCCACCCACGCCTGGCTCATCCATCCAATTGCACATCCAGTCATCCATGAAGCACCCATCCATCTGGGTCAGACACATCTGTCAAACAAAGTAATTTTCATGGTGAAAAACATCCAAAAGAGTCAGAATTAGTGCATAAGAATTGCACTAGATTTGACAAAAGCATTAAAAGATTTCCTCTTAAAAGGCAAATATCCAAAATATAATCAGGCCAACGCCTCCCTCCATTGATTTCATTTACTCTTTATTTACTAAATTGACTTATTTTATTCACGGTTTAGCTTAAGATTTTTCATTTTAAAAGCTCTGAATTCAAGATAAGAATAAATCATTTTCAAAGAAGTAAACTCTTTGATGTGGTTATGGGGGTGTGTGAGTTGATGGAACCTTTGATCACGTGAATAGGGAAATGAGCTTAGTGTTTGCGAGTGCCGAGAGTCGAACCTGGATCGACTGCTTGGAAATGTCTTGAGATGCACCTAGATTTGGTCTGTCTGAGGCAACAGAACATAGCAGCAAGAGATTGTGGTCTGTGACTTGAGACGGCTACGCCAAAATACTCCGTTGGAGGCCTAGCAAATCTAAGTCCCTGCAGTGGCGAGTCTATGCTAATCCGGTAGTTGTCTGTCAAGAGCTTTAGGTGCAGGAAAGAGGGAAACAATGTTTTATGCTTTGAAACCTGCGTTTTCAAATACGTGATCCAAGCCCACTTTGCAGAAAGGAAGCGGATACAATGGTTTCTACAATTACCTAAATACACACGCATCTCGTGACATTCGCATGCACGTTATCCTTACATTCCATGGGGAAGATAAATATGATAACATTCTGGCTTTGTCAGGAACCCTGCCTTAAGAGAGATTTAGCAGAGTATTATAACAATTGAGGGTTAAAAAAAAGGAAAATGAGAAGTAAAATTGACTATGGAGTTAGGATTTAAACAGAATACTTTGCACAGCAGGCTAGATGAGTTCCTGTAGTTCCTGCTTATTCGCAAACTTTTGAAGTAATGGTTCGCAGCGGTGACTCGAGTTCAATACACCTACATAACAGTGAAGAGATGGTCGTTTCCATAAATGAAAGATTCAAGTTGATCAGACAAGAGAGAAAGTGATATCCGATTCGGTTATTGGGGTTGGTGGTACACGTTTCATGGCTATCCGCATACTAATAAGCCAAATTGAATTGCTTGTCATTGATATCCTCGCAGATCAGCATTGGCAAGGAGGCGACACCGTAAACTTCCGCTTCGGCTAGGCGTGTCATCAATTCCACCGACGCTTCAATGACTACCTACGTGCACTTGAATCTGATGTAAGTGACTAAAGCTCCGCGGACCCACATAGCAATAACGCAATCGTGCGCTCTGTCCCATCCACAGCTGTGATACCATTTTATCACACTTCTCTTTGTAGCACGGATCTGATACCTATCATGCTGTCAGCCCCAATGCATGGCCCAATCGTAAAGTGAGGGCAGCAAAGAGGGAATAGGACAACAGAATGAGGGCAAACACATTGTTGCAGCGTGTCCCACTCCTCAAATCACCCAATTTGGAGCCAGTTTAGACACCACCGATTCAGATGTGGGCCATTGTGTAGGGTTTCTGAGAGAGGTTTAAATCAGCTTAAAATAACGGCGATTGCGTGTTACTGAAAAGGAAATTACTAACTGACTTATAGCCAATCCTTTTTGTCAGTGCGTATTAACATGCGGCTCACCTTGATTTCCCAAA